TCCGTGCCGGACTGATCTTATACTCCGCTCCACCCCTCCCTCCCCCCCCCACCACCTCCTCACTCACTCCCTCCGCCGTCCGCCCTCCCCCAACATCAAGATCACCCAAACGACGGAACACACCATCGCCGCAAGTGGCTCGCGAACGGATGGACAAACTCAAAAACGATCTGCAGCGGATGAAGCACTTGATGGGCGAAGCGAGCAAACGTGCCGATCGGCTCTGTGAAGAGCTGCCCGATACTCCGGCCACGCCACTGATGCCCCATGCTGCCGCAACTGGCTCTGCTACGGGTACGGGTACTGGAGCCAAGATGGGCTCGTCGGTGTCTACAACGTTCTCAAACGAGCCGAGTCCGTCGCCGCGCCTGCCTGGCCCGGCGCATGCCGTCTTCACGCCGGAAGTCTCCCGCAAAGCCCGTGCAAAAGCTGCGCAGCGAGAGGCAATGGTGGCAACGGCGGTGATAGAGCCGACAGATCGGTTCTTGCAACAGGTTTGGCGTCATCATTATCGTCATCGTCATCGTCATCGTCATCGTCATCGTCAACATCGTCGTCAGACTCAGGCTCGGAGTCAGGCATCGAGATGGCGACAGCATCGGCGTTGCCAGCGCTGGCGGGCATGTCGCTGGATGTGCCCCAGTCGCGGCAGCCCCAAGTGGTGCGTGCAGGCGAGGCGCGAGGCAGCAAAGCAAGACAAGAGCTGCCGTTGGATGACGATAGAATCTTTACGCCAACATCGGGCCTGTTTGACGAGTTGGGCCTCCGTGAGAGGCTGGAGCTCGATCGTTCGTTCACATCGCCCGCGAGCGGCACACCAACGCCACTCTGGGCATCGACCGGCTCGCTCGACATTCCGCGGCAGAAGCAGAGCCTCCGGGAGCGGCGCGGCGTCTCGCGAACGATGCGGAGCCATGGGAGGCTGTGCGACGAGAGTGGAAGCTCGCCGGGGACACCGGTGACACCGGCACGGGGCCGAGTCCCGCTTCCAAACCGCATCGCGAGCAACGAAGATAGTGCGGGGTCGAGCTTGCTCTCGCGGTCGCTAGCGTGGGTCTCGTACGAGGTCGACAACTGGTTTGCATCCAACTCGTGGTCGCAAGTCATTTTGCTAGTTGCCATCACCGCCGGGATGATGGGCTTGGGCGCGGCCGGACTGCTTGCTGTCGACGGCGAGGCCGGCCTCTACGGCGCGCTGTGGGACTCGTGGACATTTGTGGCTGATCCTGGAACGCACGCCGGCGAGGAGGCCGGCGGTCGGCGGGTGGTAGGCGTGTTTCTCTCGCTTGGCGGCATGCTGTTCTTTGCGTTGCTGGTGGGGCTGGCCTCCGAGTCGATTGCCGAAAAGGTGGAAGATCTGAAGCGCGGCAAGTCGGACGTGCTCGAGTCTGGCCACACGCTCATTCTGGGATGGTCGGACAAAGTCATCCCATCGGTGCGGCAGCTCGTTCTGGCGAACGAGTCCGAGGCCGAGGCCGTTGTCGTCATTCTGGCCGATATGGACAAAGAAGAGATGGACGAGGCACTGGCGACCGAGATCCCGGACTGGAAGACGACAACCATCATTACCCGGAGCGGCTCGCCGGTCGCAGCGCACGACCTGGAGATGTGCCGAGCGCATCTGGCGCGGGCGCTTCTGGTGGTCTCGCCGCGGAGCGAGGGTGTGCACCCGGACGAGGCCGACGCCGAGGCGGTGCGGGTGGTGCTTGCGCTCTCATCGCTGGGAGAACTCTCGGGGCACATTGTGGTCGAGCTGCAGGACATCGACAATGTCGACGTGATTGTCCTCGCGCAGGCTGCGGCTGGGGCGGTGGTCTGCCCGGTGGTGGCGCACGACGTCATCGGGCGGGTCATGATCCAGTGCTCGCGGCAGCCAGGGCTTGCGCAGATCTTTGAACATCTGCTCTCGTTTGATGGGCACGAGATTTACATGACACCGCCAGGCTCACTGGAGGGGACGACGTTCCGACAGGCGCTGACCTCGTTCTCGCACGCGGTGCCGATCGGGATCCTCCTGTCTGCGGCGCGGGTGGCGGCAGAGCCGGGCACAGCGGCACTGGCTCACGGCCGGGTCCTTCTCTGCCCGCCAGGCGAGATGCTCATTGGAACGGACGACATGCTCATTGTGGTTGCAGAGGACGACGACACGTTTAGCGTTCTGCCTGCGCCAGTGGATGTGCGCGTGTCAGGCACGGTTCCTGTGTGGCGGTCGCCGGCGGCGGTGCCTGAGAACATCCTTTTCCTCGGGTGGCGGCGTGATCTCGACGACATGATCACCGAGCTCAACAGTGGGTGGCGCCGGGCTCGTCGCTGACGCTGATGAACCCGCTGGACGTGCCGACGCGCGAGCGGATGCTCCGTGAGGGAGGGCTGAAACAGACACAGAACCTGGCGATCAGGCACGCGGTGGGGACACCGACGTTCCGGCGCGACATGAAGGCGCTCGACGTGGCGCAGTACGACGTGACGGTAGTTCTCTCGGACGAGGCTGCGGCCGAGGACGACGCAGGCTCGGGCATGTCGGCTGACTCGCGGTCAATGGTGGCGATGCTGCTTGTCCGCGACCTGCAGACTAAGGCCGGGCGGCCGGACGCGACGCTCATTGCCGAGATCAAGGATCCCCGGACGACGGCGCTGCTGGTCAACGCCAACTGCTCCGATTATGTCGTCTCCAACGAGCTCATCTCGATGGTCCTCACCCAGGTGGCGGAGGAGCCGCAGATGAACGCGGTCATCTCGGCGCTGTTTGCCGAGGAGGGCGCCGAGCTCCACATCAAGCCGGCTGCTCGCTACGCTTCGCTCGGCGAAGAGCTCTCGTTCTGGCAGCTCACGCTCCGCGCATACGACCGCGGCGAGATCGTCATCGGCTACCGCCACGCCGACGACGCCGAGTTTGTCATCAACCCACCCGACGCGACCAAGACGGCGGCGCAGGTTTGGGGGTGGGCGACGAGGTGTGCGTCATGTCCGAGGATTGAACACCAGGATGCGTAGCAAGGGGCAGGTCCACTCACTCACAGGCGGCTACGAGGGCAGCATCGGCAGCGGCGGCTGCATCCGAGTTGACGATCGCGCCGCGGCCAACAACGTAGACAGCGCGGCCGACGATGTCGCCCGAGGTGACCGGGCCGAAATCAGGTGACGCGGGCGACTCGCCGTCGTCGGCAACAAGCCACAGTTCGTCGAGAGCTAGCGTATACGCCGGCTCGCCATCATCAGCCAGAAGTTGCTGCCCGGGCGTGGCAGCGACGCGACGGATGAGCAGTTCGGTCTCGACTTGCCCCGAGGTGAGGAGGTCTGATGGCGATGGCACGACAATGACGTCATTGACATGAACAGCATCAACCTCGGTACGAACCACCACCCGTGAGCCATTCTCATAAGAGGTGGCAGCATCCGGCGAGAGACCAAGAGCGGTGGCCATGGCCGGGCCCACCACCTCGACCACTTCCACCTCCTCCCCAGCCACAAGTGAGAGTCCAGCACCCAGCGAGGCTCCAGACGCCCAACGCATACCCAGACCGAGAGACAAGGCAGTACAATGACCAGTGCGTGGCAGTATGCGGAGCATGTCGTGGTGTGGCTCTGGAGCAGAGTCGAGTCTTAGCCCCCCACCCCTCAGAGGCTGCGGTCGGCCGAGCTGAGTCAGCTCCATGGGCAAGCCGCACCCGGTGCAATGGTCGGATCATGGCATGGGATGATTCGGATCAGAAATCAGCGCTGGTGCATGATGGTCGTAGTGATGATATGGCTAGAGCTGTTTGCCATTGTTGGCATCGCTGTCATCGCTGTCATCCCAAGCCCCTCACCTTGACCAGCCACGTCGTCTCTCCGTTCATCAGATCTGTCCTCTGCGGCCAGCCACCATGGCCAATCACAGTCAGGCGCATGCGACCCAAGCCCCCCCCCCCCCCCCCCTTCTCCACACCATCATCTCCCCCCTGTGGGTTGACAGCTGATCTCTGCCATAGCCTCGATCGATCGATCGTCGCCGAGTGACAGCACAGCCGCGTTCATTGGACGAATGGCGTGTTCCTCGCCGCACACGGACACGGACACGGGACAGGGACGGGGGGGGGGGGGGGGACAGGGACAGGGAGAGAAGTCAGCACGTGACTCCCCTCTCCCCCCCCCTGGCAAGTAAGAAAAGGAGGAGTTGCGCTGTAGTATGGGCAGTCTCAATGAGGAGCAGGTGATGGTTGTGGTGGAAGCGCTGGCGGGTGAGCTGGACAAGGACGACGTCATGGTGCTCTGCCGAGTGTCGGCAATGTGGCGACGAGCGGTACTCGGCTGTGATCGATTGTGGGATTTGTTGTACTTTAAGGATCGTCCATTGTCTCTCATTGATGGCTCGGTCGATACAAGAGCTGAGGTCATTGGCTGGTATGTGGCAGAGAGAGACGCTTGGCGGGCAAAGGAAGAGGTCCAGGCTCAGCTGAGGGGCTGGAAGGCCGCCATTAGGGAGAGAGCCGTCAGACCGCACGTCAGATTCTCCGCCGCCTATGGTGTCCAGCTTCGTTTTGTTCTCGCCGGTGATCCGGGCGTTGGGGCTGGCTCGCTCCTCTCGGCGCTGGCTGCTGAAGCTTCTCGCCGCGCCGCAGTGCTCGCCGCCAAGACCGCCCATCCCTACGCTGCCTTTCTCGGGCAAGACGAGACGAGCACTTTGGGATCGGCTGCCTTTAGCTGCCCGCTCGGCCGCCCTGAGTTCTCGGTCGTCGACTCGCTGTACAACGAGCTCGCGGTCCGGCTGGAGCTCACCGCGCTGCGGACCGAGTCGCTCGACGCTGCCGCCGAGGATCTGACCTGGCCACCGCCGACGGCCGACGCCGTCGATCCTGTTCCGGTCGACGTCATTGTCCTCGTTGCCGCCGTCGACACTCCCGGCTCACTCGCCCGCACTGCCTCTTACTGGGCCCCGGCGCTCCGTCGTCGGCTCGATGCCCCTTACACTCCGATGGTGCTGGCGGTGACCAAGGCCGACTTGCCGCGGAAGGCCCATGCCTCCCGGCGCAACAGCCTCCTGGACAGCACCCTCGCCAGCATCAACCGCGATGCAGCCGCCGACGCTCCGGCTGTTCTTGTCGAAACCTCGGCCGCATCCGGTGCAGGCGTGCCCGAGCTCCTCGATGCCATGCTCTTTCAGGCACTGCGGCCGACGTCTGCCGCAAAGGCGGCCTCCGACGCTGCCGCTGCTGCCGCCGGCAGCGCCTCGGGCCCCGCATCGTCGTCATCAGACTCTTCGTGGGCCTCCAAGTGCAGCATCCAATAAACGTAGCAATGCACCTTTGCATGGTCAGCTCATCGGGCGAGTTCTTGCTCACTGACGAGCAGAGATAGCCGTTTGCTGTGGCGGGGAGCGGCAGGTGGGTAGGGAGGAACAGTGCGGCGAGTGGCGAGTGACGGGCGGTGGGTGTGGGAGGCAGCCACAGCCAACTCGCAGCCTGGGGCGGAAGCAGGTGGTGGGCGCGGGCGTGGAAGCCTCAAGCGAGAGACCTTGCCATGAGCCTACTTGCTCGGTCACGCGAGTACGTACCCCTCCTCCCTCTCCCCCTCGTGCTCTTCCCCTGTACCTGTGTCTTTGGTCCTGCCTGTGGCCTCGCCAGAAAAGGTCGCAGTTTCTACCACCGCCGCACGTCCCCCCCCCCGCCCCCCTCCTCCCCCCTCCCATACTCATGCACCTCTGCCACAACCTCCCTGACCCCACCACAGAGCGCGGAGACGTGCGCTTGTGATGCGTGGCCCGGACAGAACAGTGGTGTCCATGCATGGGGAGAACCACAGACTCGTCTTTGCCACCGCAGAGGTCACCGGGTGGAGGCCGTCCATGGAGGACTCGCTCCTCTGCGCACTCAACTTTCCGGATCCAGACCCGGAGGGCTTGGCGGGGCGGACGGGTGGAGGTCATGCGGATAACGATGATACTAGCAGTGGTAGTGGTGGTGGTGGTGGTGGTGGTGGCGAGGGGGAGGCGGGTGGAGAGGATGCGCAACGTGCTGGTGTCGACGACGACCGTGCTCCCGGTGGCGAGGGGCGGGCGGGTGGAGAGGACGAGTGCGCTGCTGCTGTAGGTGCTGCTACCACACATGGCAGTCAAGATCGTATGCCCGCCACACCTGGAACTTTGTCTGGCGCAGGTGTGGGGAGCAGCCCCGGCATCCGCAGTGTCCAGACGCAATCGTCAACAGCGGTCTCCACGCCGCTCGCGCAGACACGCTCGTCGTCGGGGGCGGCCCCGACCACTCCGATCCTACCGTCGTCGAGGGCCAAGACGCCGATGGCCTCACCGATGCGCAACGACATGGTGTGCGAAGAAGTGGTGCCGGCCTCTGAGACCGCGCTGTTTGGCGTGTTTGACGGCCACGGCGGCTCCAAGGCCTCCCTGTTTTGCGCGCAGCGGCTGCCTCATCTGCTTGCGGCGTCCGAGCCGTACCGCGCTGGCAGCATCGACGCGGCGCTCACCGAGGTCTTTGTCGAGCTCGACGCGGCGCTCAACCGCGACCCGCGCTCGTCGTTTATGAAGGAGGGTACGACTGCGCTTGTCGCAGCCTGCATCGGCTCGCAGCTGGTTGTGGCCAACGCCGGCGACTCGCGCGCGGTGCTTGTGGCAGCCTCAGGCGAGGCCACCATCCTCACCCAAGACCACCATCCGCAATTACCCGGTGAGCGGGCCCGGATCGAGGCCTTTGGCTCGCGAGTAGTTGCCGACCCTCGCTCGGGCACCGCCCGGGTCGACGGAGTGCTTGCGGTTTCGCGCGCCCTGGGAGACTTTATGTTCAAGGACTACGACCGCGACGAGCCCGGCCCGCCATCAGCGTGTGCCGTGACGGCCGAGCCCGACGTTGTGGCCTGTTCGCTGATGCCCGGCGAGCACGTGGCGCTCATTCTTGCCTGCGACGGAGTGTGGGATGTGCTGACGGCTGCTGAAGCCGCTGGCATTGTCAGGCCCATGCTCGACGCCGACGCGTCGCCGTCTGGCGCAGCCGCCGCTGCCGCCGCCCTGGTCATGGCCGCCTGCCCAGAGGCCGACGCGGCTGTCAGAGCGCTGCCCAACCGCGGGACCGACAACATGTCGGTCATCATTGTCGCCTTCAAGGCCGAGCCTGGCGCCCGGACGGCTTCGTATCCGGTCCACCCACACGGAGTGTACTCGCCGTCGGCGGCGCGGTTTGGCCATGGCGACGGCACGACGTTCATCGCCGACGAGCGCTCGTCGTCGGTGTCGTCCACAGCCGCCGAGGTTTTGCCGCGCTCGGCGTCACGCACTCCGGTCACGCCGCGACAGGACGAGCTGCCGTCGTCATCGCCGACCGTCGACGTGGCGCCGGCCGTCCTGTTCGCGGCTCGACGGTCAAGACCCCGATCGCGCTCAACAACGGCGAGCCGTCGCCTACCGCGTCGATTGCCGTCCACGCCTTTGCTGCACACCCTCCGCCGTCCCTCTCGGATCTGCAGTCTTCAAAGCGCAAGCTCGACGACATGCTCGCTGCACATGAGTCTGGCTCGGCCGTTCCGACCAGCGAGACCTCACAGGCCTCGATCAGCACCGCGTCCGAAGACGAGGTCGTCGACCGATTTGCCAGCCCAACCAAGCGCCCGCGCGGACTGTGAAACGCATTCAATCAAAGGACCTGCTCGGCAGAATCTCTCCGCTTCAGCCGACGGACCCGCTTGCGCCGTCGGCGCGACGGAGAGACCGACGCCGACCCGCTGGCACTGGTGGACTTGCTCGTCACCGACGCGTGCTGGTCCGACACGCTGTCGCTCACCGTCTCGTTTGACGACCGCGATGAGACATACGGCGGCGACGATGACGAAGACGATGACGAGCCGGACGGCGGCGGCGGCGACGACGAGGAGGCCGAGCCGGAGACGGACTTGGAGGCGGACTTGGATGCAGAGGCCGACTTGGACGCTGACAGCGAGAATGCTGGTTCGCCCGAAGTAGAGCCTGAGTTGTCATCACTGTCGACACTCGCTGCACTGGCTGCACTTGCTGCGCCGTTGTCACTCCCGGCGGCGGCAGCGTCAGCCTCGGCGACGGCTTTGGCAGTGGCAACGCCGCTCGAGTCGCGGCCCGAGGGCGATGAGTCGGAACGGTGCGCGGCAGGAGTGGCACCTGAAACGGTGCCCATGGTAAATACCTTCATGATACGCGCGTCAGCGTGGGCGGCGGTGCGGAACTCGGAGAACGAGATGTCGCCGTCGTCGTTGAGATCGGCAGTCCGCCAGGTCTTGTCGACAAATGCCTCCAGCTCCTCGGACGAGACATCTGAGTTCTTCAAGACTGTGCGAACGAGGGCATGCAGTTCGTCGCGCTGCAGAAAACCGTCGTTGGAGACATCGTAGGCGTCAAAGGCAAGCTTGAGCTTGCGATCGACGTCCTCGTTCGACGAAAAGACGGCGAGCACAGCCACGAGCTCTTTCTTGTCGACGCCACCCGAGTGGTCGGCATCGACCATGTCGAACATCGACTGGGCCACCGCCGGATCTGCCACCGCTGAGCCAAGTGCCGAGTTGGCGACAGCGGTGCAAAAGTCGTCAAAGTTGAGCTCGGCAGCGTCCGCCGCAAGCAGCTTGTCGACCACGTCGATGGGGATGGCGGCCATTGCCTGCAGCACTTCGACATCCTGCCGGCGGCGGAGCATTGCACGCGCGTCGGACCGCGTCGACAGTCCGTCGGCCTGGTCGAGGACAGCAGACCCGCTTCCGCGCCGCAGTGCGAGTGGCGACTTGGGCGGGTCGTGACTCCCGCTTGCGCTTGCGTCTGCCTCGGCACTCGCATCTACACTTGCATCTCCACTCGCATCTGCGCTGGCTTCCGCGGCTGCAGTCGTCACGGTCGGCTCGGCATCGGGCTTAGTAAGGGAGGCTGATGTGGATGCGGAGGCCGAAGCGGAGGCCGACACCTCGACCGAAATCTTGGTAGACGACTCCTCGCCGCCGACTGTAGTATTCGATGCAGACTTTTCGACAGTAACCGAGTCG